GCTGCACCACACGGAGACAAGACCGATACATTCAAATCTTAACTCGAAGAGCTCCAACAATAACCGCCATGATGTTAGCCGTGAGGCTTCATCACTCTTCAGGGAACTTAATTAGCGACCAAACAGTCAGAAACCGCTTGCATGAAGTGAACCTTCATTCCCGAAGACCGCTACTGGTACCACCTATAGCAATGCACAATCGTAGGATTCGATATCAATGGGCTCTTGAACACAGAAATTGGGCAGAAGAACAATGGCGTTTCGTGTGCTTTTCTGATGAGTCTCGTTTTGGTATGAGACCGGATACAAGACGTATACGACACTGGAGAACCCCTGGACGCCAACAGCGATTAAAATCCTGCCAGGAAGTCCATCCTTATAGTGGTGGAACCATCATGGTATGGGCGGGTATTTGGATCGGCGGAAGAACTGAGTTGATTTGGATCAGAGGCAACCTCAACGCTCAAATTTATGCTGAGACGATTGTATCGGACGTCATCGTTCCTCTACAAGTGCAAATCGGTCCCTTATTTCAGTTAATGCATGATAATGCACGACCGCACACCGCAAGAGTTGTAAGACAGACTCTCGCCGCAGCTAACATCAATGTCCTGCCCTGGCCTGCTCAGTCGCCAGACTTGAACCCGATTGAGCATGCATGGGATATGCTACAGAGAAGAGCTCTGCCGAATATGGAGGGTATCCAGTCGCAAGAAGACCTTTTTTTGTTGTTGCAACGAACATGGGCGGCCATTCCACAGCGTGATTTGGATGAACTCATTTTGAGTATGCCAAACCGATGTTCTTGTGTTGTTAGTGTTCGCGGTAGAAATACGGATTATTAATTGTTTAAGTTACCCAATAAAATTTTAGAGAAAACTGTTATTTCAGTCTTTTTTTCAAACTTTTGTGTTAGTGGTTCAAATGTCAAAAATCCCTTTATTAGGAAAATGGCAAATTTCTTTATTAATGCAAAGGTGACTTGGTTTATCGTTACTGTGACAAACGAAAACACTTTATTTGATGAATCCTTAAAGAAAATTTTAATTAATATCAATCAGGAGAAAAGTTATTGCAAAAATATATGTTGATCCCTAGACACTTTTGATGTGTGTATTTTGAGGTTTATTATTTTTTTGTGATCAGTTCTAACAATTATTTAATTATAAATGTTATACACACTTAATTTGGTAAAAAATCATCCAAAATATTTATTCTAAGTTAGTACGATGATATAGCGAAAAAAAGCGTGCTACTTAATTTTTGACCGACTTCATAAAGGTAGAAGTTCTAAATTCGACATTTTTTTTGATGTCCTCGCATATATAAATGAGATTTTGATGATATTTTTTTCTTTGAATAAGTTTTTTAGCGAGATGTTCCCATATTATTTTGGTAAGGAGCTGATAAGTACTTTCAGAGAAAACAATGAAACTCCTTCAATTACAATCATTGCTCAATTAGTGTTTGGTTATTTAAGAGATTTATGAAAAAGATAATGTAGTCCAGCTACCAAATAATAAGTATGATGCTGCCAGAGTAAGGCCCGTATTACAGAATGACAACTAAGTGTTGATCTTTACTTGAGTACAATTAGAAAGGATATCGCTATGTGCTATATATAGCGACATCCCTTTCCAACTATGGTCAAGACTAGATCAACCACTGAGAATCTTTCTATAATACGGGCCTAAGACTGGCATATTAAAAAGTATAAAAAATTAAAATCTTTTTTAACAAAAATCCGACTTTATTAAAACATACCACTAAAAAGTAAGATATAAAGCATATTCTTTGCTTATATTTAAATTTAAATTAACATTTGGAGTCAGTGCCAGTCATATTCCATTGATAAAGCTGAATATACTAACATCTTACATATTATTTTCTTATGAAAAAATATCGAATTATTTATGTATAGATTATGCTCCTAATGACATGCTCAAATTAAAATATGTAGGTAATGAATTTGATTGATGTGATTACGTACATAGATTCATGTCTGACGAAAATAATTGTGTCCGGTTTTTGTACTTTGCATGTTCTAGATCCATGCATTGTATTTCAATTTAATGTTAATTAATTGCAAGGTCATTGCGAATAAACCTATCAATATGCAATATTTTTGACAATGAATGCACAACCGTGGGCATAGTAATTTGATGACTTAATTACGACTTATTTACTTATACCCATACTAATATTATAATGTGAATGTACATTAAAATATTTTTATGAGTTTTGTTAAAAAGGTAAAACAGACTTCAGAGAAGGATAATAATGCTACCTTTTATTGAATACCATGTTCTAGATAAAAGTTTTAATAGCATAACACAATACTGAGCAGGGAATTGAAGAAAAACATATCCCACCAAAAACATTCTGTAAAAAACTAGCCAAGTCTCGATGGAGCTGCTAGTTTATCTCTAAAAAGTAATGTGAGTTTATGGGAAGTATTAGTTCTATTCTGATGATCATGAGTGAGTGAGTGTCATAAATTCGAAACTTTGTTTTCGCTTAACTTTGGAACTAAATGACCTACAGACTAGAAATTATGGATTTTAAGTACGTTATTATAGCTTAGTGGATGACGAAAATTTCTGCGTTCTGGTCTTATCCAGAGGTTCTCAAATAGGGGCCTGAAAATGCGGCGAAATGGTTCCAGTCAAGGATGGTACGGCAGTGTTTGCTTCGCGCTCGACTTGGCAGGATTAATTAGGTAACATTCATGTTTCTCAGTAAAAACTATTCAACATACATACATCAAAAAAAGTTTGAGATCACTTGTAAAAGCTGATATATTTTCAAAATTTAACTTAATCAAGAAAAAATGTTTACTTTCTTTAAAAATACAATTTCTGAAATTAAAAAATAAAAGTAATTTCATTTTTTAGTCGAAACAAATTAATAGTTCAATCATAAGGCGATTGTAATAGAATTTTGATAGAAATAAAAATATTGTTTAACCAAACATAAAATAAAAACCTTTTATTATTAAATTGTTGTTTAAGTATCTAATACAAAATAACTCCTCCCCTGGCTCGAACACATGCGGAGATCCTCCTGGGCATGCTGAGGATCAAGTTATCCAGCATTTCTTGTGGTAACCTGTCCCATTCTTGAACAGCAGTTTCCTGAGCTACTGTCTGGGGTGGTGGCTGCCGGTTCCAAACAGCACGCTTAAGAGCATCCCACACGTGCTCTATTGAGTTTAAGTCAGGAGAGCCGGCAAGCCAGTCTAACCTTGTGATTTCATATTCTCGGAGAGCAGCATTGACGTTGAGCTCGATGTCGCGGTCATGAAGCCTTGATAAGGGATTAAAGGCGTTCTAGCCCCAATCATAATACCACCCCAAAAGGACACTGATTTCCCGCCTTGCTGAACCGTTCCAGTGACCGTTCTTTGCCTTTCAGAAACTCCAGGTCTTCTCCAAACACGGACACCTCGGTTATCTGGATGAGTACTGATTCGCGATTCGTCAACGAAGAGGCATTTTTGCCAAATGTTTTCCTCTTCGTCTTCTTCGTTTTGCCGGAGCCTAGCCCATTGTAATCCCCGTTGCTGACGTTTCCGTGAATTTAAAGGTGCTCGCCAAGACCTCCGTGCTCGTAATCCAGCCTTGTGTAAGCAATTTCGAATGGTCTGAGTGCTACCTTCAAGTCCGGAGGCGGCCCGTATTTCTGCTTTTAATTTAGTGGCGTTTATCGTTGGGTGGCGGGTTACCAGCAACCTGATGTAGCGCTTCTGAGCAGCTGTTAAAACAGTTGAGCGACCGCTGCGGGGTCGATCAGCTAAATTACCCATGCCGTGGTAGCTCTGCAACGTGGTAACTACGCAGGATTGGGATATGGCAACTCTGCGTGCTATTTATCTCATAGAATAAATAGCCTTCTTCCCTCTAAGTTACAATTCTGGCTCGTAAAACATCTGATAATCCTCGTGGCATTTTTTAAATCACAACTTTCCGTGAAAAAATATTTTAAATTCGATAATACTGATTAAGTCAGATTTCTGAATGAGTGTCAGCTTGGATTGCATGTCTTTTTATATGGAAAAACGATTGAATTATTTTATTGTTTTACGTTCTAATTTTAAAATTAAGAGTTATCAGAAAAAGAAATAACAAACGAGTCTTCAGTAACACAGAAAACAATGTATTTTTCAAAGTGATCGATGTGTGTACATTTATTCTTAGCAACGCACTGCTGGATTTTTAAATTCGATTAATATTTCTAGTAATTAAAAATTTTAGCTATTACTATAACCGCTGTAAAATTCATTTTAACTATATAAATATAAAGTTAAATTAGCTGTATTGTATAACCTAAATCGTTGTCTGAATTCGCTAGTATTTTTTCTCAGGTAACTCAAAATTCACGGTGTATAATCTTATATACAAAATTCTCGTGTCACAATGATAGTTACTATACTCTTCCGAAATGGCTCCTTTGAAAAGTAGGTCTGAGAATCGGCTACGATTTATTTTTCATACCCCTAAGTGATAAGAGTTACATCCCTAACTTAATTTTTGGACAAAATTTTATTATTTTGTAGTTTGGCATTAAAAATACACATAACCCTAAACTTTCACCCTTCTACCGCCAACCCCTACTTTTATGGTGGTACGAAGTTCGCTGGGTCAGCTAGTCTTATATATTTACGTGTCACAATGTTAGTTACCATATTCCTCTGAAACGGCTTGACCGATTTTTATGAAATTTTATATGCATATTCAGTAGGTCTGAGAATCGGCTACTATCTATTTTTCATACCCCTCAGTGATAAGAGTTGTGCACCCCCAGAATATTTTTTTTTATTTTTTGAACAAAATTTGTAATTTAATTTTTTTAAATGTGGCAATAAATAGTTCATACAACCCTAAATTTTCACCTTTCTACCTCCAACCCCTAATTTTCTGGCGGTACAAAGTTCGCTGTGTCAGCTAGTTAAGTATAAAAAAAGCTTCGGGCCAAGTAAAGTTAATCATAATTTGACTTACCGAGTAGAATATCTACTGTGACTCTGCCCATATACTCGTGAACATCGAACACATTCCCAACTTCCGCTCTTAGTTTCTCGACGACATCTTTACTGTTCTTATTGAATACTCCAACAAAGGATTTCAATATATTGATGTGGAAAGTAGGAGCGATAATTTTCCTATGCGACCTCCATTTCTGACCTGTACACGAAAATGTATTTAAACTTAACTTTTGGGTTCGTTTATTAATTAGAATTATCAACTATTATTATTTATTTGAAAATCTCTATTGTTATAAGTAAAAAAAAAAGATAGAATGTGGCTTAAACCTGATAAGCTTTTAAAATTAATTATGAACTTTGGTGCAAGTGGGTGTTCTGAGAAGTTATTCTCCCAAGGCGGGATCGCCTTCAGAGGACACCGCGCGTTAGCCTAAATTGCCATCGATTTATTGATTCACTATTCCAATGGACATCGATAAATAGATGTTTAATTTCTTTAGAAATGGAATGTTTTGTCCGCATATGTGATTTACTCGCACATGTGTTTCATTTTTCCTACAACCCAGAGTACTTGTGAAGGAGCAACTTCTAAGTTGCCCGCTGATGACACTACTCCACTTGCTGGTGTAGTCATCAGGTAGGGTGGTGTCATTTGCTCAGACGTAGTTATAAGTATTATAAAAGATTTAAAAAAAATGTATCGACTTCAAAAAAACTACAGCTACAAAAAAAACAAAAATTAAAAAAATGGGTGCGTGTACTTATGTAGGCGCGTGAGAAGTTATCCTTCTTTGGCATCGTTTAAAATTAGTTTTTAATTGCATGCAAATAATTAATCACAATAAATTAATAAAAAGGCTGGAAAAGGACACAGTTAATAAAGTTCAGTTTTAATTTGAAAAAATAAATAAATAATCAAAATATTCAATTAAAATCGCTACTGAATATAATTTATTAGAACATATGTGATTTGCACTTGTATGAAACTCAAACACGTATTCCGAATATACAAACTAGAAACATGTGGATAAATATTATAAATATGAATACCTATAACTATTACTTTATTACAAAAAATAAAGATGTGGTTTTTGGTTCTACTACACCAATGGTCAAGAGATGGCGCTGTAGTCTCCTGAATCGCGCTTTGGTTCCGTTGTTCCAGATTAAACTTTTGATAGGCCTTCACAATGCAGTCGTTAGCACCCACTAAATAGAGATTCTATTTCTATTTTGTTGGTAGATTTTCTTAATGTGCGGTTACAGTGATGCGCGCGCATCTTAAAATTTCACTCTCATAATTTTTTCATAACGCGCCTAAAGAAGTATAACTTCAAAAATTAGATTAACTGTCTGATATATTTGATTGTTTTCTTAATTTTTCTTTGGTTCCTTCCCTGATAAATACGCATATATATACTGAAAACCCCATTCAAATCGGATTAGTAGTTTTTGAGATAATCGTGAACAAACATACATACATTCAAACATACAGGTCAAACTGAAAACATCCTTTTATGTCTGTTAAAAAATATAATATGAACCTGTACTAATAAGCAAGCCGTCTCCAAGCCAAGGCTTGAAGAATCTATATTCATCAGATTTGTCAATGTGCACGTGGCTATTCAGGATCACTTCTACGTCATCAGGTTCGGCCAGGAACACAAGCAGCTTGTATCCCACCCAAATCCTAGCCACGCTCAAATACAGCTGTGCCATTTCAAGAGCAAGTTTCATGATATCTGTAACATTATTAATTACATATTAGTTTAATTCTTAAATTGATATTTAAAAAGGTATTAAGTGCGATGCGTATTCAAAAAAACATTGTTCTAAATAAAAAAAAATAACAAAATAAAATAATTTCATATATAATCAAAATTAAAATATAACAACATTGGGCTGGGCGGAAATACATATTATGTTTATTAAGAAAATAACTTGGTAGTATGTTAAGAAGTTTTTAGAATTTCAAATGTTTTATTTGTTTCTGTTTGAAATGAGTTCTTAATAATGTATGCCAAATCAATAAATAATAACAAAATGTATGATGTAATTACATCACACTTACCTGATGGGTTCTTCCCTAAAGCTAAATGCACGTTGCCTAAAAACGGCAAGGGATCAGGGCCAGGAAGCTTGTTTCCCATCTTGACGAATTTCGTTTGCTTCTGCCATCGGTGATAGATCCAAAGGAACGTAACCAAAGCAACTAAAGGGTAGAAAATGAGGCGCGCCGTGCTGTAACGGGTACCACTGGTTTCTTCTAACATTTTGCTAAAGGGAAAACAGTTAAGTTTTACTTTGTTTTTAAGTGCAAAAATTCTGATGAGTTCATTTGGAACAGAAAATAGGACTGGCCATTCCAAGATCGGCACAAGAAAAGTTTAAATATTTGCCTACCAATTTTATTATTTCATAAAATACTCACAGAAAAGTCCAACTCTCTACCGTTCTCCAATAACCTAATGACAAACTATTTTGCATATTCTTTATTTTTATTGTGATGATCTTTAACATCATGTTAATTTTATTGAAAAGTATAATTGTTAAGGCGACTACCTTATACCTAGTGTGAAAATGTTAATGGTTCTCTAATAATATAAAATAAGACAGTATGTTTGTTTATATATGCATTTCTTACTTGCTTCTGCCCGTGACTTCTTCCATTTTGTGGAAGTTGGAGTTGATTCCAGGATGAAATCAGTGTAAATAACAAAATACTTTGTTTTCCGGAATAATATGAAATAAGTGGTTGAGTATCAAAATATCTAACCATAAACATTGGCGTATCTAGGGTTATTTTTCAGGGGTGGCCTGGCTCTTTACATGCCATGGCGGAGACTCAGAGTCGACACTCAATGTTGTACAGTCAGTGAGTAGGTGTGATTAGTATCATATACATAACTCATAAATAACTGTACACCTAATAGGAATAGTCCAGTAAAATTAATACTTTAGAGCATGTGTCAAGTCCGGTACTTCCAATTTTTTGTAGACTTGTTTATGATGTTGGCCCAGTAAATAATCCAAGTTTGTGACATCGAACACCGAACGCAGCTATGTAAAAAATCGACAATGCCGCGAAAATATCCTGTTTTTGATTTTTGCGATTATAACGCTAAAGGACTATTTTTTGATAGTATCTTCTCAGGATATTTTTAAAAGTATACTAAAGGAGACGGTTCAAAATCGTATGTGGGGTGGTAGTGAGTCTCCGGAAGAGTCCAAATTTTTATTGAGATATATCGCACTATAGTGCACTTAATTGTAAATATTTGACAAAAAACTAGATCATATCAGATCATAAAATTAAATCATTATTGATAGGTAAATGGCAAGTGTAATTTTTTGTTGCCAAATCATCGAATATATTCTAGTCAATAGGTAAGTAAAGCAGAGATAATTGTTCTGTTCATCTTATGATATATGTTTCATCGCTGCTGGAAACCGACTACCACTTTTGAACCATCTCCTTTGCTACAATATCAGACTTAAATTGACTTTGTAGACCCCATATTTCAGACACCAAATTTTCAGTTCTTTCTTGTACTTTTTTTAAACCGTTTGTAACGTAAACAAAATTTATTACAATATGAGACTTAAATTGTCTCTACTCCATAGTTTTTGAAATAGAGCCTTTCAAAGTTAATATTTTTTATTCTAGAGCTGACTTTTTTCTAGAGATGACCTTCTTGCGGCTGCTTTCTTGTCAGGTGTAAGGTTCAAATGAGCAACACTAGTAGACCCCTTTGGAGGTAATAGGAACTACAAACAGCTAGAAAGGTTCGAGTGACGTTTAAAATATTATAAAACGTTTTAAAAAAGTTTGACAAGCTTCATCTCAGAAAATATTTAGACAAGCAATTCTAGTCTCATATCGTAGAAAATTTAGTTTTAGGAACTTAAAAAATGTTTTGACCTTAAACTGAATATACTAGCATAAAAGACTAACTTCCGCGACATCAAAACAATTTTTTTTACGATTCATGCCTAAGTTGTTGCCATGATAGATTTAAAAAAATGGCTATTTTATTATATTTATATATTTAGTAACTGACTTTGTATGATTTCTGATCAAAAAGCGCAGATATTTATATTGTTCATAATTCTTCTGATTGTTGAAATAGTTACTGTGAGAGTAAACAATTATGATACACGTTAAAGCAAAAGAAAACATGTAAAATAATAATATTATTCTTTATTTTAACACACCATACAAGTCACACAAGTAAATAAAAGACATCATAGACAGAACGTACATAATATAGGCGGCCTTAGTGCTAGCAATCTCTGCCAGACAACCCAAAATAGAAAGATAAATAAATATGGAGGAGAAATGGAGGGTTGTAAAAGTTAACAATAATAGTATTGATAGGAAATCAGATATATAGTCCGGTCAAATTAGCTTCAAAAATAGGGGTAAGGCTACATTAATTCGTACCTAGCTGAAAATTGGCATGAATGTTGGGAACCCTATTACACACATTTTGTCAATTATCCACATGAATCCAACGAGTGGAAAAACATTTTCTAGGTCAAATTTTGGAAAAATCGGTTTTTTGAGTTTTCCAGCTAAACGGTAAGTTTTATTATAAAAATAGGTGAGACAAACATTATTCATCATGCAATTATCTATAAAAATTGTTCATACACTTTTTTTCCTAAGAATCACCATTTCGGAGATATAGCGATGCACGGTAGCGATGTAAAAAGTTGAAAAAGTTGTATTCTTCTTCAGAAGAAGAACGGGGTTCCCAACATTCATGCCAATTTTCAGCTAGGTGCGAATTAATGTAACCTTGAATGTCTATTTTGACCGGACTAATATTACCTATAAGATAGTAAAAGAGCTATTATTAAATCAAGTCGAGATTTTGATTTCAAGATTTTATTTGTCCCTAATAAGTGCTAACATCTTCAGTCATTTTACATTAAGATATTTTTTTTAATAACGTCAATTATACACAAAACCCATTATTTATGAATTTGTTTACTATTGATTTGATTTTGGAGTTCTTTGTCTAGGTTCTATTTTGAGTCTGAAGCCATCTGCTCTCTTCAGTATAATGTCTCCTAATAATTCATATTTCTCCTCGGGGATATCTGAAGTTATTTTGTAGTTACGTAAAATCGTAGACAACAGTACCTTTAGCTTTAACATAGCGTATTTGCGACCTGCAAAATAAAAAAAATATTATTTATTCTTTTAATGTAGTTTAAATATTTGTTTTAATTTCACAACTATATTTATTTATAGGTTTACCTACCTACGCAACTCCTTGGACCAGCACTGAATGGGATGAAGCTGTAGTAATTTCTGTTCTGTGTATTTTCTGGTAGAAAGTTATCAGGGTTAAACACATGGGGGTATTTGTAATATTTAGGATTACGATGTATCGTGTATGGTCCAATGACAACAGTAGCTCCAGCAGGGATTATATAGTCATTGGTACCTAATTAGTAGAAAATAATAAAAAATGGTTATTATAATTTCAAATAATAAACAGCAAAATCATTGAAATGAGAAACCAAAATACTAAGCAATTTTATATAACTGATGTCTGGCCATTGGTCTAGTGTCCGATTTTATTATGATGAGTTCGTTATCAGGTTTAATTAAATTTTGAAGTATTTTTTATTGCAGTACAATTTTAAAAATACTTACTAATCTGAACGTCGTGTTTTAATAGTCTTGCTATCACGGGTACTGGTGGAAACAGTCTTAGAGTCTCAAGAATGACTCTTTCCAAGTATTTCATTTGAACAGTATCATTGAACGTGGCTTCCCTATCCGAATCACCAAAGATTTCGTACAATTCATTATATGCTTGGGCTTGTATATCTTGGTGCACACCCAAAAGACACAAGACAAAGCTGGAACCAGCTGCTGTTGTGTCATGACCCTGATTCCAAAGAAACAAATGATTAGGTAGGTAGCAGCAGATAACCTTTGTGATATTTAAAGATGAATATACAAATAATATAATAAAAAAAGTTTTATTATTATCCATACCCAGTTTTGTGTATAACTATAATATATTTTCAAAAAGTTTACTTCTTCAATGTTATTAAAATGGGCTTACTTCAAACATGATAGTATCCACCTCTTCTTTTATTTCGTGATCTGTTATATCATTTGCGCCGTTTTGAACTGATTCAATCATTAAATCTAAGAAGGCAAGACGTTTCTTTTCTCCTGCAATTTATTATCATACACACATATATATATATATATATTTGCTTATATATATATATAAGCAAACATATGCAAGAACAAATCATATCATTAAATAGTATAAATAATATTATGTACTTACCAACATCATTTTCATCGATGAAGTCTAAGTCATCACGATACCCTGAAAATAAGTTTTCAGTGTTTTTTGTATTGTTTTCTGACTCATTGTCACTACCACCATTGGATTCTCGATTCAGTTCTTCAATAGTTGGACGTATTATACCTTTAGCTTTATTTAAATTGTATTCCTCTTTTTTACTTTTTATTACCTGTAAATTGAATTTATTACTACACATATTTTTGTTTACATTTGATCTCTATTCCATAATTATTATTCTAAGGGTGACTACATATGGACCGGCTCTATTTTGGTAAATTAAACTTTCGTTAAAAAATGTTTAATGTCAAATTACTTAAAATACGTTTCACGGTGTTTCAGGATGAAGAGTAGTTGTCTCGGTTTTACGTTGGTCTCACAATTGCATCTGTGGTAGTAGCGTTCTCGAAATAACGATGGCGGATTTAACACATTCATATTAATCGATTATATCCATATATAGGGAAATCTCTGATACCCCCTGCAGAGAAACGTTATTAAGCTGGTGTAAAGTATTGATTTTATACCTGATTTGTAAGTCCATGTATTATGTTTAATAGTTCAGCTTGTTTTTTTGATAATGATGAAAATTTAAAAATGCATTCAGGTCTTAACCACCACTTGTAATGTCTCTGATGTAAAATGTCGCACATCCTGAAAGTACAAGTAATATACGATAAGAAAATGTTTAAAAAAAATAAAACAAATGAAGTACTAAAAGTAAGGATAACAGGACTTGTTGTACAAAAATACCAAGTTCAGTAATGCTAGAATAGCAAGGTGTTTGAAAAATCTAACAGCGAAACTGCACATTTAAATGAAACTTGACATGAATTGGAACCACAACATAAATAATTATATATTTTACCACACTAAAAGGTTTCTTGAAGTTTGCAATTTCAGAGTTAAACTACTTAGCTACTTAGTTTTTGATGACTATAAAAAAAAAGTAAAGTGTAAAGTAAAGTCAAAAGCCAAAGTTAATGTGAAATACTAACTTCATAACAGCCATCGCATAGTCGAACCCTGATTCATCCTGTTTTTGTCTTGTGATTCCCATCACAGTTTCTGAAAAGCGTCATGCAAGAATATAATGCTGAGCCTTAATTGAAAATTGTTGTTCAATTATGCGTCATAAGAAAATAATTACTACCAAATTAGCATGCAATGAATAAATTATTAAGCATTTTGTTTACAGTATAATGAAACATTATTAAATGGAAATTTTTAGAATGATGACTTGAAATATCTGAATTGTTTATTTTACCAAGTAAAATGTCGACAGTGACACCACTCATGTAGTCGTGAACATCGAAAGTTTTCCCAATTTCATGCCTCATTTTCTCAACCACATTTTGACTGTTTTGATTGAAGACACCGATGAAAGACTTAAGGATGTTGATGTGGAAAGTGGGTGCTATTATCTTGCGATGGGATTGCCACTTTTTGCCTAAAGAATAAGTAGTACAGAACATTCATATGATTTAGCAGGAGAAACCAATGTAAATATAAAGTTTTAATATTACATGATTGAATGCAAAGGTGTACTAAATTGGAAAAACAAAAATTAATAAATATATACATATAGTTACATACAAATATGTTATTAAGTAAAATTTAAGTATGACATATCATTATTATTTTATCACTTTTCTCGTTTGAAAAGCCTGATATGTTGGTTATGTTTCTTCTGGATTCAGAATCAAGATGAAACTTAAAATTTTAGTTAAAAGTGAATACGTCTTAATCACCTACTAACAATTCAAACAATTATTATTCTAATTTCAAAATGTTACCTGTACTTATCAAGAGACCTTCGCCCAACCAGGGTTTAAAAAAGTCGTACTCTGTCGATTTGTCTATGTGGACATGACTATTCAAAATAGGTACTGCATCAGCCGGGTCATTTAGAAAAACAATCAACTTCGGCCCCAACCAACCTCGGACCACGTTGCCGTACTTTTCTGCATATTCCAAACCTTCTTTGACAATATCTGTAAACGTATTTTTTTTTCTATATAACTGTTCTCATAGCTTCATCTCAGCAATGTCACAATAACTAATAATCGGTCCCAAGTTACTGTGCCTAAGCACGAGTAGAGTTTGAGTAAATGTGAGTAATTACCTATAGTGAATTTCTAAATTATTGTATCAGTTGACATTCGCCGGCATATTGTTATAAATTCTCCTTACAGAAGACTACAATAAAACAACACCAGCTTTTGGTGGTGCTGTGTTTCTGTAGGTGAGTAAGGTTCCAGGTGTAGGAAGGCCAAAGGGGAAGATCTGCCTCCGAGCTGAAGCTCGGGGCCGCGGCCCTACTGATGTTGGTCGGGCATCGTATATATTATGTCTTTGGCTCTGAATTTCTCTTACGCGATGTAGGCTTCCATACGTTGTGAACGCAGCGCCGGTAGTGCCATCTCTTGCAGAGGCGAGTGAATATTTAGTCCATGTTGATTATATGTGGGGCATGTAGATGTCGCCGCCACACAGGGCTCAACGGGGTAGGAGCTTGGGTCAGGGTAGGCTATGGCGCAAGTGATATTTTTGATATCGCAAGTGTCTATAGGCCACGGTGTCGCTTACCATCAGGTGGGCCATAAGCTTGTTTACCCTTTTAACAAAAAAAAATTTTTAGAAGTTGAAGTGAGTTTCAGTTCATAAGAGAGAGTAAATCAATTCTTAAGAGCGTGAAGTGTAACGGCCTAAACTGAAGAAATGAGTTTACATTTTATAACAATTCCCTCAATTACTGTTACACTAATATTATAAAGGCGAAAGTTTATGAGTGTGTATGTTTCTTACTTCTTCAAGTCTAAACGGCTGGAGCGATTTTAATAAAATTTGATATGCAGTTAGCTGACATCCTGGATTAACACATAGGCTACGTTTTACTGCGGGAAAATATCCCAAATAACCGCGGGTAACATCGCGGGGCACAGCTAGTAATAACATATTAGTATTATCTGACTTTTATTAAGAGTATTGATATATCTTGTTTCATTATATTCAATAATGAAACAAGAATAATCGTGTCACTTCAGGTCAAGATCTTTTTTAATGTCAAACTTAAACTAAATTTGTTCAGCTGTTCCAGAGTGATCAAGTAAACAAACTGGTATTCATAAATGCTATAAAAAATTGACTTACCCGATGGCGATTTTCCAAGTACTATAAGGGCATTTCCAAATATTGGCAATGCCTTAGGTCCCGGCATTTTGTCGCCAAGTCTGACCAATTTGGACTTCTTCTGCCTGTTGTAAAAGATCAATAGTCCAGATACAATAATGAGCAGTATGTAGAACACTTGCCGCTCGCTTGTAAACTGAGTGTCGTGAAATTTCTCGGGTATTGCCGACATTTTGCTGAAACTGTTATCTGAAAATAAATCTGAAATTTACGTTGAATTCATTGCATGGTAGGGGAGCAATAAGACACGAATGCGCAAGAGGGATTAATATAGACCCATTAATGTCCCCAGTGCTGGGGCATAAGTCTTCACATAACAAAGAATAGAATCACATAGGAAGAACGGTCTATACGTAATCCACCACAAAAATCTAATGCGAAGTCTAGTACACTTGTATCCTGGATGACCTCCTCCAGGTCATCGTTTGAAAATAGTTGGATTATTATAACTTTTACTAATATTAGTTATAAGAGTAAACTAATTAGCTACTGTTTCATTTTGATTGCGTGCGGGTACCTTGCGAGAGAGATATGAGGTGGATTTGTCCTTCTGACTTACAACCCAGGTTTAGATTTACCCTTATGAAGCTAGGGTGTTAACGGGGTGTCACAACTACGATGCGGGCGTAGTTTTCTTGATTATAATGTGGCCACAAATTCGACATAAATTCTGGAGACCTTATCCTCAAAATTTGTGTCCGGCGACCAGAAAACCTATACAATACTGCAGCGCACTGGTGCAGGAGTATTGTCTGATTTTATGACAGATGTTTTATTTAAGATTTATTTATGTTTTTGGCCTCGTTATTAAAAGTATTTGCTTCACATTTACAAACTCCCGCACTAAATAGGTTAAATCACCCAATAACAACATCAAAGCATTACTAATAAATAAATATAGTTTTTTCACTAAGGAATTAAGATTTCTAGTAAGGATGATGAATCTTACAGACCTTTAATTTTCTGTTTAATCAAAAATATCGCTCAAACACAAAACTTCTAACTTTTAGTTTCTATTTAACTATTTAGTACACTTTTTTATTTAACATCACTTTTCTTATATCAACGAAAAATATGTGAAGAGTGATGATTAATCTACAATTGAAAATCTCAATTTTATAAACGTTTTGTCCATTACACTGATCTGATCCGTTTGAACTATATCGGTAGTTCTAAGAAAAATCAATTTGACCTCATTTAACGAGTCTCTCGTAGTACATCAGATTAATGTTAAAGGTTTCGGCACACCTACACTCGTTGCGCGCATAATTATGGCAGCAGCAAAATTTATCTTATATCTATTATACTCGTATGTACTTATTAATAAAAATAAATCGCCGAAATGTATGTACGCGCATAATTTTCGAACGACTGCAGCAAATTGGATAATGCTTTCCTTTTTGTGTTCCTTATTGTCAGGACAAGGTTTGTAAAAAAGGAAATTTTAAATAAATCGAATAAAAAATTGCGGTACGAAGTTTGCCTGGTCAGCTAGTGAAATAGATTTATCGGTTATTGTGGTATAGGTCAAACACGGGCCGTTTAAGAAGTCTTAATCTCAGGCAAGTTCTGTTGCGCGAGATATCACATACGCACAGCAGAGTGACTTCAACTGCTGCTGATGCGACTGCTGATCTCAGTAACCTACTAAGTTTTTTCATTTATTAAACAATTTTGAGACTAAACCTAAAGTTTTCTGATGTAGTATTTTGAGATATGATTAAGAGAGGTAGGTACAGCGGATTTACCGCTCGAATTGGAGCGCGCGTCTGGAGAAGTAACTTCCACTCCACCATATGATTGTTTGACACCCTTTTAATATAAAAAATATGAGATATATAAAGATATGATAATTCTATGATCTTTTGATATGCTACTGTGGGTGCAAATCAATATTCCTAAAGGGCGTTTCAAATTGATAATCTCGAGCTAATGCTTAAGCGGTCGTTGGCGCAGCCATGTTAGCCTCCATTTATTTGCACTGGATCCTTGGATCTATATTTTTCCCTCTACTTAGTGAACAATTTCTTACAGCAGTGGCGAAATAAGTAGAAGAATGACCGCGTTATATCTATTTATATCTTTTTATATCTATTCATTCTTTGTTTTCAACATTGAAATAGCTTTATCTCATATGTGTGAAGGGATGGAATTACTCCTGCCTATAATATTACTATAAAAGTACTTTTTAGTATGTATGAAAAATGATTGTCTCTGAGATTCTTAGTTTTATAGCTTGGTCTATTATGCTTTTGTGTAGTGAAGCCATTACGAACGTTTAAAACACGTAAAGATGAATTCATGTAAACGTATTAAATGTAAAGTGAAACTCCGTGTAGTGGTATTAAATAAACGCAGTCAGCACGCACGCTGCGAGCGGCCGAGTCAAGTACAGAAGGTTATTAATATATAAAACGCCAGTGCTGAATTTACACATTTGCCGCCCCAAAACTATAAAATTTTTGCCGCCCCGACTGACCTCTAAAATTAGATACACTGTTCACAATAATGTTAACTCCTTTTTTGGGAATAATCTAGTTTCTAGATTATTTTTACAACTTTCTGGGTATAATTTTAGGCTAAGAAAAGCAAAGCTTTGTTTTTACTGCACTACTATAAGGTGTAGTGGGCTAAGGAAGACATGTAGGTACTCGTATAGTTCGATACTGCTTTTGTAGCGTAGCTAGCTTGAGCAGTGGTCATGTATGCAGTGCCGTCTTTGACCTATTGGAGGCCCTGGGCATATTAGGATAATGGGGCCTAGTTCGTAGACTAGGGACTTTGTATTTGATCTGAGGGAGACCCCTATTGATCGCGGGGTCCTGGGCACTAGCCCAAAGTGCCCACTGGGAAAGACAGGTCTGCATGTATGTATGTCATATTGTGTTCCAGCGCGCGGGTGGCGGGCTCGTCGTAATCCAAAGACGTATGGCCTGATCTGAGATCTGAGAAATTTAGGCGCTCCGGGCAAAAATATTTTTCGCCGCCCTTGACATACACTAACACCATTTATGATGAGTGTTGATATGTAAGTACGTATACACCGTAATCATGTCGAATAACTTTCTTTGTGTTGTAGTTTCTAAAATCATTACATATCAAAAGAGTTTGTTCCTTATTTGAACGCCGCCGAGACCAGTTACTTTGGTATTTCTTCTTCAAAATTAGTTCAGATCATTATCATCAGCCGATGCACATCTACCGCTGGACGTAGGCCTCCTCTAGGGATTTCTACATTCTGATATTGAAGACTAATAGCTATTTTTTCTGTGCTGGTGGCCTGTGAAGTGCATCAAAATTATTACGCAGTGATTTTTATTAATTTCTTTAATAATACCTATCATGTTTTATAACCCCATGAGACATTGATACATATTGTAATCGTTGCTTACAATATTATGTATTCAATTAAGATTTTAGTTTTGACAGTAAAATTATAAAGTTTCATTTTTATGCGCCGAAAAATATCTTTACACGACCCCATTGTAATGCTAGTTACAATATTTTTCATATAAAAAATCTTCAAACGTTGCAAAAATCGTACTTATTGTTGTTTTCTCAAAGCGACACTGACGGCCGTATAGATCATTTGAAAGTTCAATTAAAGTCAGTATATGAAACCAACATTTTATAAAAAATAACTTCAGACAACAGCTGCAATAAAATAATGAAGTTTAAAAAATACTTAAAATGGCTCTCCTGAAAACAATGTCACATTGAGTTACAATGTTGTTCATATTCTGTGTCGATATTATCAGTAAACGTTATGAGTTTTTATCAAAAACCAAAAGATTTGTATGTTTTTGATTATGGATTAGATTCCATACACAAAACTGGAGGGAACGTTGTATACTTTGACAATCGGATGATGATCTCGAGTTATATTGCGAAAATATTTAACACACCGGATTAATAAAAAAGTAGGTACAATTGAGCGCCCAGCTCTTTGGAGGGACCAGATGGAACCCGAAAAAATGTCTTAGGCTGTTTATATATAATTTGTAAAGAGCAAGAGTCAGAATCGAACCTCGAATGACGACCTCCGTGGCCGAGTGGTTTGTACGCCGGGTTTCATGGTTTCGCCGACTCGAAAGGTCCCAGGTTTGAATCCCGGTGGGGTCAGATGTTTGTATGTTGTTGTATGTATGTATTGTATATATTGTATGTTTAACATGTATTTCTCTATAAATATTCTTATACATGTAAAGTATATGTATTCCATCCGTTACCCTAATATCCCATAACACATGCTTTACAGTGCTTACTTTGGGGCTAGGCTGGTTTGTGTGAGTGTTGGAAATATTTATTTACCCTTTTTAATTTCTTTTTTTCTTAACCTGTATTTAAGAAAGAAAGAAATTAAAAAAAACTGATACTTTTCGTGGACAGGGTGAAATAGAATCAAAAATGTTGCCATTGATATGGTGCTGGGGTGGGGTCTTACTGTAAGTAAATAGGTTATAAGGAACTACATATTTTGCTGTAGCTGTAGTTAATTTAATTACATTGCAAAAGGTCTTAAGTAGCTTTTAACATGGTGGTATGGTAGATACCTTACCTTCTATGGATTGATAAATCAGTAGATAGGTACCCCAAGCACAAACAACTAGCGAGAAAATATTCGTATAGCTATCGTCAAACTTTGTACGGAAGGAGCTAGTTTGTTCTTATGTCCGGTAGAGGCCCCTAGTTTCCATAGAAACTTTGGCAATGGCGATACGAATCTTTCTTGCTAGTTGTTCGTGACTGGGGACAGTAGTTACGATCACTACAAGTTACTTAAAAAGCCCCATGATATGAAATCCCATTAAGGAAATGACAATATTCCGGAAATAACCGTCTTTTAATCCTAACTAAAAAGTGTGAAAAAAGAATAGTAAATAAAAAAAAACCGACTGCTGTAAAATAAACTTTAAATAAAAATTGATAAAAATACAAGTCCAGTAGTCTATAATTCTGTTATGTAAGGAACTAATTTACTTTAACAGTCGGGAGTCGGGACCTAGTAGATATTCTGAAATTAATCAAATTTTCCCAGTAATGACTTCCGACTGTTAAAGTAGCTTTGTTCTTTACTTTTTATGCCCGCCAAATAGGTAATTTATTTGACGCATAAATTTATTTACAGAAACAAGGAAATCTAATCGTTGCGGCCACTGGTCGTTGTCGTGGCCATCTAGTGCGCGAGG